TGTAACTCAGATTAAGAACAAATGTCCAACTTCTGATCTTTGATTCTCCCTGCTCCAGCATGATCTGAAGAAGTTCTCAGACTTTTCAGAAAGCTTGTAACATGCTTTGTAACCCCTCTTTGAATCATTTTTGCAAACTCTAATTGTACCTACGTGAAAACTGGCCCATAAGTTCTACTCAAATTCTGACTTGGAAATGTTCAGAATTTACTAAGTGTTTTAGTTTCGTGGACGTGTCTTCAAGGATTTATAACTTGAAATCCCATCATTTCTAGGAGAAGTTATGTTCTACAATATTTTAGATCTCATTGAGATCTACAACTCTTGTGTCAGATGTTCTTCCTGGATCAACTCACATGTTGATGAAAATCTGGCCAGAAGTTCTGAGTTTGTCATATTTTCTTAACACTTAGAAAAATTTCTAAGTGTTTAGAACTTTGACTTTTCAAAAGTAATTTTGAATTTTGATTTTCTTGATGAACCAACTTCACATTCTAACATGTCTTGATGAAATGTGATTCTTGAAACTTGATTTTGATTAAAAAGTCCGAGTTTGACTTTTCAGTGTGCATTTTGACCATTTTGCCCTTATGCCAATTCCAAACTTAGATTGATGTATCAATGCTGCAAACTTGAGTCATGGAAGATCTTGTGAGAAATTTCTTGAGAAATGAGAGGGAAAATTTTGGGGTACAACACCATGCAATAAAATGTATCCCTTCCCTTGTTTGTACTTTATTTCGCTTTAGTTAGTTTAATTAGCTTGAATAAATCGAATAATGCAACAACTAAAATCAACCCTTTTCCAAAATAAAAATGCTTGATCAACATCAAGTCAAATAAAAAAACAAACATATGCCTTTTATAGTTTGAAAACCTTGATCAACATAAAAAGCATTTTCTAATACCAATAATGCTGATCGCTTTTGCATCCATTCACTTCACGAATAAAATCAACCACCATATCACTATTCTAAAACCTTTTCAATGCTCTTTTACACTCAAATCATTTCCAATTCAAAAATCAATCAAACACTTGGTCAACACCAAGTTCTTTTCAAATCTTTTCATAATCAAAATGTTTAAAATACACTAATTAATCGAGTATAACTCGCTCTTTATTGGATAAAAATGGTTAGTTGGGCGTAATACTGATCCTAATCTCTAAGTATTTGAACGCTAGCCGTAATAACTTACCATCCAAATGCTTGGTTTATGTTACGGAGCACGTCTTAATTCATCTCACAAGTTTCATATATAATTTGGTCGAAAAGGATTAGTTGGGCGTAATACACATCCTAATCTCTAAGTATTTGAGTGCTAGCCATAATAGCTTACATTCAAATGCTTAGCTTCCACCTAAAACAATCCAACTCATCAAATCGTCTTTTTCACCCGAGCGTGGATCTTTCATCAGCAAATATTTTTCGCCCAAGTACAAACCTTTTTATTAACAAACTTTCATTTCCCAAGTGTGAATATTTTAATCAACGAGTCTTTTTCTGCCCAAGCGCGACTAAACTCATTTTCACAATTAAAATCAATCAATGCATTCGTGGTTTTCTACCACGAACTATGAAGCTCTGATTTTTCTATTGCACTTAGGAATACTTAGACATATGATTTTGAAATCTCGGCGAGCATAATAATAAAAAATCCCAAAAATATTTTCCTTTCTTTCTCCCTGCAATTAGTAGAAGATCACAAATAATATAAGATAACATTTAATCACTAGACTAACCATATGTGTCCCATTGAGTACAACGGATGTGAGGGGTACTTATACATTTCCCTTGCATAACCGACTCCCGAACCCTAATTTGGTTGCGATGACCATTTTCTTTTATTTTGTGAGTTTTATCGATATTTTCCCTTTCTTTAGAATAAATAAAGTTCAGTGGTGAATCTGTTGTATTTCGAGCGTGCGATATGCATGGGTATTTTTTCGCGCCACGACAATTACTAATTATCACTTCAATTATGTTTATCTAAAGTGATTGAAAAATGTTTGTTTGATTGCAAATTGAAATGTAAATTAAGAAATAATTAAATGCAGGAGTGAGATTACGATCATCCATCAAGACTCACCCATAAGATTATTCATGTTTGAATTACGAGAAGTTATAAACAATTTTTTATAGAAAATTAGATAAAAATGTGCGACACCCAATTTTGTGGCATGCACATCTAAATGTGTTTCAGGTACAACTATGCATATCAATAAAAAGCGTACGCCTTGTCACACGACACTTCATTCTTGATTGTTACTCAACTGAGATCAAGTTGCCTTGTCAGTGTCGCCTCAAACTCAGTTGTTTAGTAATTCAGATTCGGATGTCGAATCATTATCTTTCGATACATGATTGCCATCTAATTTGACTTTGCTTTTGCAAACATCATAAACATGAACTAACATTCAAATTCTAAAATAAAGTAACAGATACTTCTCACAATTACAAATGAAAAACTTAGTAGGGGTTTGTCATGAGAAGGACTTTCATAACCCCATGTCCCTAAGGATCCACTCACCCATGGTGAGATGAACAACAATCATAAATAAATTTAAGAGCATTGCATGAAAAGTAAGTAAATAGAAAATAAATTAGCAAACTAAAGATGAAGATGAAGGCAAGATGTTAGAAATTACAAAAGAGTACTGATAACTTAAGCTATGAACAAAGAACAATTATTTAGAGTAGTAATAGTGAAAAAATGATGGAATAAATAGATTCTTAGGCTCCTATTTATACTAATCCACGACCTAGGTCACTGATTATATGCATTAATTTCATGCTTAGTGAATAATTATCACTAATCATGAAGGAAATGAGAGTTACAAATGCCAAAAGGTCACAAAGTCATCCAAAATTCAAAAGTTTTATAATTGCCTGAGGCCTGACATGGGCCATGTCAGCCTCTGTCTGCTTCTATGGGCGTGCCTCCAAGGGGGAGCACAACCAGTGTCACGAGACACGACCTAACCGTGTTGGACTCGAGAAATTTGTACTAAAAATGCTCATTTTTGTGTGATCTGCGACTTTTTTCGTCCCGATTCGCTTCATTGACTTCTTATTCCTTAAAAACTAACATAGGAGACAAAAATACATAAAAACAAACTAGAACGACGAAAATACACATAAAATCAAAAGGAAAACAACAATAAACATGACACATTTACTGTTTATCACCTATGACCACTGTTGAAAAAACCAACTGTAGTAATAGGCGTAATGGTCATGGGTTCCATACCCAACGCAAATATTTTGGGTGGTTTATACATTTGACCAAGGTTTTAAGTTTCAACTATAGTAAAACAATTTGCACACAATTCATATAGATTATTATACACTTAGATCATTATTTTCTAATTCAATTTGACAAGTTATATGTTCAATGAAGAGTTGGTAAAACACTCAATCCACATACGATATAATAAACTCAATTGTATCTTGTATCACTTTATTATGACATGTTGGATTGAACAAAAATGAAAGTTGCACAAAGAATAACATTATCAACAACAACATATGGCAGCAAAAACAACAATAATAACACAATATTTTACCTATATCAATAAAAAACAACAACATAACTAACAAAAATCACAACAATAACATAAACTTTTTATTTATCTCAACAAAAAAGGTAACATATATAACTCAACAAAAACATCAATATTAACAAATTTTTTTTAATTGTATTAAAAAGAACAACAACATAACTCAACAAAAAAGCACCAATATAACTAACAAAAGCCACAACTATAACATAAACCGTTTACTTATCTCAACAAAAACAATAACATAACTCAACAAAAACATCAACATTAACAAAAACATTAACAAAAACCTTTTACTTGTATCAACAAAAACAACAACACAACAACATAATTACGAAAAACCACAACAAAAACATATACTTTTTACTTATCTCAACAAAAACAACAACATAAATTTTTTAATCTCATCTTAAAAACAACAAACCCTAAAGGATAAATAGTTTTAACAATAACAACAACATAACTCATAAAATGAGTGGTGGAAATTTTTTCACGTACGTACCAGAAATGTGAAGAGGAAGACAAAGAAATGAGTTTCGTGTTTTCGTCTATAAACAATTCGTGACAACTTTCTTTGATCCATACTAGTTGGAGAAGTTATGTTAGAATTTTGTAAAGATATGTTAAAATTTTGTAAAGATATATTGGAGTTTTGTGAAATTTAAATAAGGCATGAGGAATTAGGATTTCAATTATAGAGCGCAGTCTATTCTAAAGTGAATTAAGTTAGTTTAATAGATGAAACGAAATGAATCACAATTAAATATATTCATAAAATTTCATAAGAAATTTATTTATTTATTCATAAAGTTCATAAGGGTAAATGTCAACACCTACCATTTGGAGACACATAGGTGATTAATCTTCTCTCAAAATTCCACATTGGTGACTTTCTATACTATGTTGATTGTTTTAGTCATGCAAATGTTCATCAAGATTGACTCTTCAAATACATGCTAATCAATCTCATACGTGAACATATCTCCTTACACTCTAATCTTCTCCCAAAGATTTTTCATAATATGAGCCATCACTCATTAGCTCCTAAAAAAAGTTAGTTTAGAATAAATAATCTCTCAATACTTGGTATTAACAAAAAAAAAAAAACTTCAATTGCATTAATATATAATCCAATTTTATTGTTTAGATTTGCAAATAATAGATAAAACAGAATGAATCACGATAAAAATCTATTCATAAAATTTTACGAAATTTATTTACTTATTCATAAAGTTCATAAGGGTAAATGTCCAACACCAACCATTTGTGGGCACATAGTTGGTGATTAATTCATTTCACATTTCATTCCAGAAGAAATACTCCATGAGTCACTCAAACCCAAACGACTAAACAGAAGAACCTCTGGCCAAAGCAGTAGCGTCATCAGCCACTTCATTCCGTCTCATCAATCCGATCCAGATCCAATCCCAAACCACAAACAATGGAAGAATACCCCGAAGAATTACGAACTCCACCCATAACCCTAACCTCTCTGGTAGGTTGCCCCGATCTCCACCCTCTAATCTCAACCTACCTCTTATCACAACAACCTCCAATCAACACCTTAGCACTTCCCGATTTATCCAAAATCAACGTCTTTAACCAGAAGAAAACCGATCCCGATTCCGTTATCGCCGCGTCACCGCCTCCGTTCATCGTTAACGGTATCCTGAAACGCGATTGGCTTCTCAAACACCGTACCAAAATCCCTTCCGTTGTTGCTGCGCTTTTTCCGTCTAATCATGTTTTCGGTGATCCCTCTCAGTGGCTTCAAGTTTGCTCCGATCTCGATTCCATCAAGTACTTTCTCTTCTTTTTTCTTCATCATTTTAGTTTTCATTTTCCCCTATTTTAACACATTCTATTAACTTTGTTTTTGCAGAACTGTTATTCGTGCGAGGAATATCAAATTAGTTGTCGTACTTGTTCACACCAATGCAAACGGTTTGTTTTTTAATTGACTTTCACTATTTCTCAGTTTTTTAAAATTAAGTGTGTGTTTGGATTGGCGGTAGACCGAATTGAGTTTGGTAGAATTCATTTTAACATGATTGAGTTTAGCAGAATTGATTGATTTATGTACGGATACATTTATGTAAAAAGTGATTTGAATAACAAATTTCAATGTAAAAATCACGTTTAAACTCAGAAGTTACAAATTCTAGCTTAAAGTATAATCAATTTTGGAGGCAGAATTAATTCTACTTTAGAAGAATCAAACACCTCAAAATCACTCTAGAATTAATTCTACACCTCTAAAATTGCTTTTGGATCTTCTAAAAGCCAAACCAAACGTGCTATAATTTATAATGTGTGGTTTTTATTGTTTGATTGTAGATGAGGTTAGTGAAGATAGAATGATTGCGTTAAGGAAACGAGCTGAATTAGAGGCAAAATATGTTGTTATATTGAATCCTAATAATGATTCAGAATTTCAATCATCTCTTAACAGGTATGGGAATTTTGTTGGGAAGTTTTATGTTTTTTTTTTTGAATTTATGAATGGGAATGTTGTTGGTTTGGATTCAGGCTGGCAAGTATATTTTCGGAATTATCGGGGGTATATTATAAAGAAGAAGGAAGAAGGGTTAAACAAAGGATAGAGAAGAAGAATGTTAGCGCTGTGGAGTTGATTGTTCGTTACTGCTTCAAAGTATGAATCTTTCATTTTGTTGTTGTATTTTTTTAGTTATTTGGCTTGTGCTATATTGCGCCGACACTTCAATGTGCCTATGAATCTGACACATGTGGTTGCACACGACCACTTCCATTTTTTGAAATTGTTACGTTTGTGCTGTGTTCATGATAGTGTGAGTGCTCCATAATATGCCTATCTACCGAAATTATGTTTAGTTTTATTCTCTTTCTGATTTTTCTTTGGCCTTTTTAGTTATGGAAAGTTTGGATTGGGTAATTTATTTTGGGAACAAAGTTATTAATCCCGTATAGCGGAGCAGAGCAGCCGGCCCTCAAAAGTGGGAATAGTCGGAATAGCGGGATAACTTTTTGTATACTAATAATTATATAATAATCTATAAAACATGTCATGTAATATTAAACTAATTTCACAACACTCATACAATATTTATAAAATCTAATGTCAAACCAAGAATAATGCTTAATCAAGATTCAAAACATAAAGATTCAAATTCAAACTTAGTACTATTAATCTATTATATGTAAATTCAAGCAAACATAGAAATCATGTAGCATCATCAAAATATTCCTCCAATTCTTCATCTTCATCTTCTTCAACATGTTCCTCCAACTCTTCATCTTCATCTTCTTCAACATCTTCCTCCAATTCTTCATTTCAACATCTTCTTTAACATCTTCTACCACCACTTCTTGTTCCATTGTTGCTCTTGGAGCAATTGTTGCTTGTGGTGCAATTGTTTCTCTTGGTGCAATTGTTGCTCTTGATGCCATTGTTGTCTGAGAAGTACTTCCAACTTCAAGTTGCCTTGTTGTCCTCCTAGTGTAGATTATAGGTTCATTAGCCCCACTAGCATTAGCAACTTAAGTCCAAGTTAAATCATGATTTGGATGAACCAAGTCTTCACCATCATCTCCTACCTTTTCCATCTCTCCCACCAATCATTCGGTCTGGAAATTAATTTCGTTAAATTCCATAGGATCAAATTTATCCCGAATTTCAAATCTCTCTACCAAAGTTTGATTATACTTGATAAACACCCAAGTCTTGCAATCTTTGATGTTCCAATTTATTTCTCTTGGAATGAATCTAAAATACAATAATTTGAAGTATTAATTTAATAATACTTGTATGTAAAATATTTTAATATCCTAAAAAATTAATACTCACATGCTCAAAGATGCTCCAGTTACGCTCAAATCCGGAAGCACTGCAACTCAAACTCAACACTTTAACAGTCAACAATTGCAACTTCGGAGTTTCGGCTCCATAAGACTTCCGCCACTCAGCTGCAAGTAATTGTAAAAAATCATTCCATATACATAAATGTAGCCCATAACCTTAACCCCTTTTTGTATAACCTTTTGAACTTTTGGAATTTTGCCTATGTCTTCTAACATAAGGTCTATACAATGGGCAACACATGGAGTCCAAAACACGTGAGGCCTCTTCAAACACAATTCTTTATCCGCCGCTACATAATTACTTCCATTGTTGGTAATTAATTGAACAATATTTTTTTCACCCATTTCTTCAATAAAAGTGTCCAACAACTCGGCTAGCTTTTCCCCCGTCTTGGCATAGTTAGAAGCATCAACACTTTTCACAAACATGCTCCCCGTCGGGCAATTGACCAAGAAATTATTCAATGTTCTACCTTTTCTATCCGTCCAACCATTCGACATAATTGAACATCCATATTTATTCCTTTGCACCTCTTAGTTCTTCAACAAACCTTTTGTATATTCCAACTCATTTTAAAGGAGTGGAACCCTAAGTTCATGATAACTTGGCGGTTTCAAATGAGGACCAGAACTTCCAATGGCTTCCAACATCAACTTAAAAGCTCTTGCATTTGCGACGTTAAAAGCAACTCAACACGTATAAAAAAAGCGAACAATATATTGGATGGTTCTTGCCCTGACTTCTTTATCACACGTATCATTGATGCTTGTGTCCTTAGTCTTCTTATACACTAAATCTAACAGTCCTTTAGTCCTCTTGACGGCCATTGAAGAGGTCTCACTCTCAGCAAGACTCTTTCCGGTTTGAATTCTACGTATTTCCTCAATATCAATTGTATCATCCGCATCTAATTGCACCGAAACCTCTTGTATTCCTTTCTTAATTCTCTCTTTCTCAACCATGTCAGCACGTAACATAGCCTTAACATCCTCAGGTGTTTTCGAGCAAGAAATTACATCACCGGTAATTTCTAATTGATGCTTTTTTGCTCTACTTATTCCCCCACAGCTGGTTATATTACAAAAATCACATGTCACCTTCTTCTTGTTATTCAAATCCTTCAAATGATTGTATTTCCATCCTATGTCCTTGCTATTAGTTGGTTTGAACGTTGGAGCACATGAAGCAACCGACGCAGAATTCAGTGTCGACGAAGAATCTGCCATATTTTTCTAGAATAGAAATAAAAGTAGAAGCATAACACATTCAACACACAATAGAAGTAGAAGACGAAAGAAGAACACAGTAGAAACACAACACAATAGGAGAGATGAGAACCGAAGAAAATCACAACACTGTAGAAGTAAAAGAAGAAGTATATTACCTGAGAGTGAAACGGAGAAGTGGAAAGCGGAGGAAGCTTGCTGCTGGAACGAAGAAGTAGAAGAAGAAAAAAATAGGACACGGAGGAAGTAGGGCGCGGAAGAAGCAGAGACGAACGAAGAATGAGAAAACCTAAACAATTCTGTTTTAAAAACTATTTTAAAACAGGGGTAAAACAGTAGTTTCGCCCAAAAAAGTTAAAAAATAAATAAAAGACTAGATCCGCGACGCTCGCGACCCGCGACCCGGTCTAGCAGCGATAGCGCCCGCGATCCACTCTCCGCCACCGCACCCATGTGCGCGTGCGGTAGGACCCCGCCCCGGTCTGGAGCGCCGCGATAGCAGCCACTATGGGCGCTATTAACTAATAGAGTTATTATATAGTTAGGCAGTTAGTTTTTATTTCAGTTCTAATATTCTGTTAGCAATATATGCTGAGCTGTCATATTTTCTATTATAGCAGCTTTAGTTTGTTAGATCTAAGTCTCTCTCTATATATAGAGAGCTTCTTGTATCTTCTTGTAGTCAATACAATGAGAGTTATCAAACTGTTTTCTCTTCTCTCTTCATTATCAAACTCTATCATTAACAACTCAATGGCAATCGTGTTATTGGTCTGAGGTATTCACCACCTTTGCCAATGACTTATCTTTGCCAGGGAACTGATTGATCATCTTTAGTGTAGTTTCCCCTCTCAACCACATTTTTTCATCCACAAGGCCCGCACCCGAGACTTTACTTTAGGGATCCGAGTCTAGTTCGACTTGGATCAGTGTAATGTTGGTTGGTGGATTATGTACATTATAGCCAATTTTAGAAGCATTAGTATAAAAAAATGAAATTCTTAAGGCATGTTTAGTTTTTGGATATGACGTTTTCTGTTTTTATGTCTTGTTTTCATATTTCATTACGAAACTCACATTGTTTTCTCTTTGTTCCTGATTTTAATAATTTTAGCCAATTAAAACAGGAACCGTAGTGGAAATGAGGTGACACTTTTGTAGTCAGAAGAAGTGAAAACAGTAATTGAAAAAGGAACCTTGAAAAGGAGTATGGACTGAAATAGTATATTTTGTGTTATATGTTGGCTGAGGCATTTTGCCCTTTGACTTTGTTTTTCCATTTATTGTCAGTGAACTTTTTTATTAAGTCTGCATTATTTATATTTTCAATTTAACAAAATAAAGTTTGCATTATTTATCTAGATGCCATGAATTGCTAGGTTGCTGTATATGCAGAGTTTCGAAGTGACTGGACTGAAGCATTGAAATTTTATGAGGAGGCTTATCATACACTGCGAGAGGTGCGTGTAGGTTTGAATAATTCTTGGGGTTTAGTTATCTAATTTTGTTTCACCACTGATGATATTTCTCTGCCTAGAGCAGGAATACTATTACTGGTTTTATGTGCTCGCTCCATCTGTTGGTTGTGTTTGTTAATAAAAAATTAATTGTCATTGTGCCATATGTATATCTTGTGATTTGTGAGATGAATTTTTTCACACCCTCCATTAGGATATATAGCAACTGATATTTTACATATTTTAACATGGACAGTTCTGCTTTAACTTGCCATAATTGTCTTCAACTCTAAAAGATATCATACTGCCTCTTCTATGATTTCTAGTGATTAATAAAGCTGCATGAACATTTCATTGTTTGTGTGGTTATCAGATGTCTCCCAAAATAATGAGTTTTTGCCACATCCATTTTTCTGTGTTTTTACACCGCAGATTGTTGGGGTGACAACAAGGTTACCACCTATACAACGCTTAGTTGAGATAAAATCTGTTTCGGAACAATTGCATTTCAAGATATCAACCTTGTTGCTACATAGTGGGAAGGTTACAGAAGCTGTGACGTGGTTCCGCCAGCACAAGAATACATATAGAAGGCTTGTTGGTGCTCCGGAAGCAATACTTGTACATTGGGAGTGGATGAGTAGACAATATTTGGTATTTGGTGAATTGTTGGAAACAAGTTCAAAAGCCACTCAAAACTTTCCTCCTGTTATTTTAGGCTCTTCATCCAAACCACTGTCAGAGTGGGAATATTATCCTGCTTATTACTACCAGGTTAACACCCCTCTTTAACTCTAGCTTGTATTATACATTGCATGTTGATATATGCAAATGAGTAGACCATTTTTATTTACTCTGATAACATAGCTCACGAGCTTTGAGATTTCCATTATATTCTGGAGCATTTTCTTTGGCAATGAAGTCCTATAGTAGAATCGTTGCTTGATGGTACCTTCAAAATAATGATGCTAATTGTTATATTGACATATTTGAAATGGTTGGTTCTATAACTATATTCAAGATGGAGGCGTGTAACCTTTTATTTGAAAAAGCTGTTAGCAATGTATAAAATTCATGAATAGTTGAGAGAATTCTTAGAAATGTACAAGATGGAGGCCGTGTAACCTATATTCAAGATGGAGGCCGTGTAACAAAAAATGTTGCTCATATATCATTTGTCATCATTTTCGGCATGTAATGGTAGTGGCTGGAAAACAGTCGATCGTGGACGGAACTAGCCAAGATCGCCCATAATCAACGGTTTCACAATTTTTTCATAACTTGACTACAACACAAGATTCTACTTAAGATCTGGATCGTTGGGGGTGAGTGAGATCGTAAAGTCGTAAGATTTTAAGATCTAGATCGAAATTTTGACAACCATGGTTTCAGCCAAATTAGTTCACATGTAGTGAGAGCATAGCTCTGTATATTATAATCCACTATATGTTCAAACTAATATTGTGATGAATGAATTACCTAGTAAAAGCCAATGTTATCTTCATACTAATATTTTGATAGTTATTGTGTGATTATTAGAGGTGAAAATAGGCCAGGCCGCCCAACAACGAATGGTATATGGTCTAGCCTATGATAAGCCCAGACTAGGTTAGATTTAAAAAAAAACACAGAAAAGGACAAGACATTCTCAGAAGCCTATTTTGACTAAAAATGTCCGATATCAGGCCATTTAAAGTGCCTTTAAGGCCTAACAAACCGACTTATTTCAGTAAACATAAATATTTCATTATTACTATTATTGTTATGTTAAATTTTGTATATTGTGTTAAGTCAAATACTTGCTAATCCTTTCAATAGTTTACACGTATTGTCCTATATAAACTTTTGACATATAAAAAGGCCTTATTGTAAAATAATGTTGAACTACCATATAGTCATAATCTCTAAAAAGTTAGGTTAGACCTCAAAAATATTTTTATATCAAACAAATAAATTAGAATAAGGATTTAAAAAACTCAGCTTGTTGAAGATGTTAATACAAAGTAAGCCTTTAAGAAGTTAAAAGGTAATAACATGCTTTCAAAAAGGCCACACCAAACTTAAAATAAAGCCTAGGACAGCAGGTGATAGGCTGGAATTGGGCCATTAATTTTTTGAAATGGTTAAACCTAGCCTATTCTCATTCCTAGTGATCATTGAACAAATTGAAATAATTTTTACATATGTCTTAGCCGCTTAATTCTATCAAGGCCAGCTTTTATTTAAAATGGAAGGGAATATTGTGATAAAACCCTCCTAAAATAGGTGGAAGGAAAACAAAGTATCACATCTAATCCTCCAAATTCATCAACAATCACTTTTATAAGTGCCCCCTATTTCGGTATGTTGGAGGAAAAAATGGCTTAGCTACTATTATCCTTTTTATTATTTCTAAGTTTCTTTGTTAATATACAGTTTCAGTATTAGCTAGCTTTTTAATACCAAGATAATTTAATAAGAATACATTATAAGTAGTCTATTTTTCTTTAAAAAGTTATCCATTTTCTTGCCTTTGTTAGTTTCAAACATAAAAAAAGAGAATGGAATTGTTGTTTCCCTTCTCACATTTATGTTCCTTTAATTTCTTCTTTTAATGTCCTCTCCCTATTCTACAATCTACACTTAGTTCTTTTTTGTCTTAGCTAGTAACCTTGTCTTTTCCCCCCCCTCTTCATTGTTTTTCTCTGTTTATATTGTTCACTGTTAAATTCGCGTTTGGCAAGTCCATCCTCACATTGATCAACCTTAAAACTAGTTTCCATTGTATCTTTTCATATGGGACTGTGATGTATAGCCTGCAAGTCTCTTTTTCCCTTATTGGACAATACACTTGCACTCACATTGTGTTTGCAACATACATGTGTGTTTCTATGAGAATCAAATAGTTTGTTATATTAACCTATCTGTCCGTGCAAAGTTGTTTTTTCTATTAGTTCATGTGTTTTAAATTTTTGTGGGTGATCTTGATTTATTCTCTGAAACAGTTAGCAGCTCACTACTTGAGTGAGAAAAGGTCAGCACTGGAGCTTGCAATCTCAATGTCAGAAATTCCCAATGAGGTTGATATTGGAGCTGATTCAGTTGTTCCTTCTGCATATGTCGGTCAGTTTGCTCGATTACTTGAGGAAGGGGATAATGTTGATATGCTACCGTAAGTCGTAATTGAGTGGTACTAAAGTTCATATAGTCTTATGTATTACTTCCTACAGTTACAGTCTATTATAAGCAAAATTGACTATTTTGATTCATTCAACAACTGATGTCGGTTGTTGAATGAACCAAAAATGTCAATTTTGCTTATGACCGGCGGGAATATCTTTTAAGGATTAATTTTATTCACTGTCAGTATAAAGATGGTTTTTACACAATCATACTCATTCAATCATTAAAAAAGTTCGACTTTCATTATATCTAACTTAAAAGTCATCAAAATGATTATTTGTGATTGGTTGACTCTTTACACTTTACACTAGCAAGGCATCAAAAGTATTCTCATCTTTTAAGTAATAGTTTTCCACTTGAACTTGTAGTCTCACCGACGAAGGGTACACCCATTATGCTGTTGCTGAAGGAAAAAGGTTCCGAGATTCACTTGAAATAATTGCTCTTTTAAAAAAAGCTTATGAATCTTACAGTGGTATTAAAGTTCAGAGGATGAGTTCGTTTTGTGGGTTCCAGATGGCCAAAGAATATTTTGCAGAAGGTGAAATTGGCAATGCAAAGCAGATTTTTGATAATATTGCTATCCTATACAGAACAGAGGGATGGGTTACTTTGTTGTGGGATGTCTTGGGTTACTTGCGAGAGTGCTCCCGGAGAAATGGTACAGTTAAAGATTTTGTGGAGTATTCCCTTGAAATGGCCGCACTCCCAATATCATCTGATACTGGTGTCCAGAAAGACACTGGTCCAGCTGGTCCTGCAAGTATACTGCAAAGAGAAATTGTACACAAGGAGGTTTTTGAACTTGTTGGTGAGGCTTCAGTGTTGACAAAAAATGAAGATTCTAGTAATCTGAAGATTTCTGCGGATGAGTTTGTTCAGCTTGAAGTTGATCTTGTGAGTCCGCTTAGGTTGGTGATGTTTGCGTCCGTTGCTTTCCATGAACAGACAATCAAGCCTGGAACATCAACTTCTATAACAATATCACTTCTTTCCCACTTACCCCTCACCGTTGAAATCGATCGATTAGAAATCCAGTTCAACCAGTCTTCTTGTAATTTCATCATAGCAAATGCCCAAAAACAGCACTACGTGGAAGATGGTGATACTCTAAAGCAGAGAACAGAGACAGCACCGACTCTTTCACTTGTATCTAATAAATGGCTAAGGTTGACATATAACATCCAATCTGGTAAGTCTGACATTGTTGACAAACTACTTTCCTGATTAGCTGCCAGGTTTATCCAGTACCTCTAAATGTTTCTATGATCAATTAATCAAGGCACGGACATTTCAAGCATTCTATTCATCTAATGCTACCTACCCCTATCTTCTTTTGATATTTTTCTGCTGTTTGTGATGCCCCCCATGGCTATTAATTGTGGGTGGTGGTTATAGTGATGATTGTGCAAGTAACCATGTGATGATTGTTCATTTATAAATAGTGCAATTCTGTTATATTTCTTTCAAAGTTTTTATGGGTTTATTTAGGTTTAAACATGCTTTTCTGCATATACCATTTTTTAATTTCTAGTCCCTGCAATAATATTTTGTTTGTTTTTGGTTCTCAGTCCTTCAAAATATAGTGATTTCCGCTTTTGATATTTGTTGTTGTTTTATTCCTCCAAAATTTGGTCACATTGAAATTGATCCCGGTCATTATCATTTTAGTCCTATTTTGAGGGATCAGAGTCTAATATTATACGAATTACAAGGATCAATTCCAATATGAATAAATTTTGCAGTACTAAAACAAAACATCAAGGCCCAAAAGTAAAAATGATATATTTACAAGGACTAAAAACAAAATTACTTTTAAAAGCGACTAATATCCAAACTCTTGATATTTGCAAGAACCATTTGCATATTTAAGCCATTTATTTATCGGACTTCTCTATCAGCAAGATCTGTCTATTATTATCTTTGTTCAAAAGTATGATCTAACCTAACTGTGTCCGCATTGAGACTTGCGTATCTATTATTACTATTACAAGTGTTGCTGTCACTTTATCTATTTTATGTTGATTGTAATTTGGGTTACTATATCCTTTTTCAGATCAAAGTGGAAAACTTGAATGTCTGTCAGTTATTGCCAAAATTGGATCACACTTAGCAATTTGCTGCAGAGCCGAAAGTCCCGCTTCACTTGATAGCTTACCTCTCTGGACATTGGAGGATTGCACACAAACTGTTCCCATAAAAGATGCAGTTCTTGTGTTCTCTGGCTTGAAGTCTACCCAAGTGGAAGAACCAGATCCACAGGTAGATCTGTGTCTTGGTGCTTCAGGTCCTGCACTGATTGGAGAGGTGTTCCTGGTACCTGTAACATTGGTCTCCAAAGGCCATGCTGTCTACTCTGGTGAATTGAAGATCAATCTTGTGGATGTTAAGGGGGGTGGTTTGTTTAGTCCAAGAGACTCTGAGCCGTATTCAATGGAAAGCCATCATGTGCAGCTGCTTGGTATATCTGGACCCGAAGGGGAAGATGAGTCTCAATTAGATTCAGACAACATAAAGAAAATACAGCAATCATTTGGATTAATTTCTGTTCCCTTTATTAAAAATGGGGACTCCTGGTCCTGCAAATTAGAAATCAAGTGGCACCGACCTAAACCCATCATGCTTTATGTCTCTTTGGGCTATAAACCAAATGGCTATGAACCAAATAATGCACAGATGGTCCATGTCCACAAGAACTTGCAAATTGAAGGGAAAAATGCTATTGTTATTAACCATCATTATTTGATGCCATTCAGACGAGATCCATTGTTACTCACCAAGAACAAAGAAGCCTTAGAGTCTGATCAGCCAGAACCACTGCCCTCGAACCAAAATACTGTTCTCGTCGTTAGTGCAAAGAACTGCACTGAAGTTCCACTAAGGTTGAAGTCCATATCCATAGAGGAAGAGGATGGTGTTGAAAGGACGTGCTCTATACAACATGGAAATGAAGAGCTTTCAGACCCCGCACTTCTTGTTCCCGGGGAAGAGTTCAAAAAAGTATTTTCAGTCAATTCCAATATAAACATTTCAAAGCTCATATTAGGAACTGCGTGTTTGAGATGGAGAAGGGACTTGGGGGTTGAAGAGAAATCTGCTTCTACCGCAACATTGTCTTCTTGGGTTGTGACTAAACAAAAACTGCCGGATATGAATGTGGAGTTGCCCCCTTTGATTGTGAGTTTGGAATGCCCTCCTTATGCAATCTTGGGAGATCCCTTCACATACAATATCAGAATTTTGAACCAGACACAGTTGCTGCAAGAAATCAAATACTCGTTGGCAGACGCACAAAGTTTTGTGCTATGTGGGTATCATAATGACACTGTATATGTTCTTCCAAAATCAGAACACATTGTCAGTTATAAACTTGTCCCACTTGCCTCAGGCATGCAACAGGTACCTAGATTTTCAATGACTTCTGTAAGATATTCAGCAGCCTATCAGCCTTCAAACTCTTCAAGTACTGTTTTTGTTTTCCCTTCCAAGCCTCATTTCAAGACTGCGGCCTCAACAATATTTAGGGTGGAGGAGTCTGTAGCTAATGAATAAATGTTGTACATTGTCGGATTATTTTTCTTTTAATCTTGTCCCTAGTTTTGTACCGCAGTCCTGGGCCGGGCCGGGCCGGGAGTTTGTGAGGGACAACATTTTACATGGAAAAGGCTGAGCACATGGTCTCTACTTTTGATTCCTGGTTACAAGTAAATGTTAATTGGGCGGTATATATTATCTTCCTTTTTTTTTGTATATTCTTTACTGTGTCACTAGACGAAGAGGTGGAGCCAGTTGCCGAAGATGATGACATGCTTCGAGAGAGTTGGACATTTGATATATGGAGGAGTCAGGGTTGTGGAAGAGCCAAGGTTGCTCAGTCGGATACCCGATATGCAGGAGGTCGAGATATTAGATCATATCGTTATATGTTTTTTGTTAGCCGGAAAGTGTAAGTTGGTTTAGCACAAACATGTTAGGCAGCAGGGGTAAATGTATGTGATGCAGTTCTCTGTACTTTGGTTGAGAAGAACGGTGAGTAAATGTATGTGATGCAGTTCCTTGTACTTTAGTTGGAACCTTTTTGAGGAGTTAAGAATTTTATTTGTTTTGATTTATGGTTTTCAGTTGAATATGATTTCTACGTTCTGCTTATGCATAAAACTTTGATACATATTGTAATAGGACCGAGAGGCATCTGACATATCAATCTTCACTTGGTGGTTTAGCATGAGAGATAGTTTGCATTGTAACTTTCGTATGCACACAAATTGTGAGTATTACTTGTTTTTTTTTTTTTAATAATGAGCTGTGACTTGTGAGATAGCCTATAGTTGGTACACAATTACCTTATAATAGATTGTAATCTCGAGAGGTGATAAGACTTGCTTAGTATACCTACACTAAAGAGGGCCGAATACTTTATTACCGAAAGGTATTGATAATTAGAATAAATTCGATAGTGTAAAAGTTTGGGGAATACTTTTTCTAGTCTTATGTGTGTATTGCAAACCATTGAAAATTCAAAAATACTCTTTATGCATTTGAAGATGAATCTCCGATCACATTCAAAATCATATAAGAATGTGCATCATATAAGAATGTGCTATTATGAGATCTATCCTGTTTTGAATAAAATATAATTTGGAGATGTATTTATGTATGTTATTTGTGTGTATCTGGAGATATAGCTTGGAGATATAGCTCTGAAATGTTTTCTAAAACAATGGTTTCAGAGTAGCACCATTGTTTTGGTATTGTAGTTTGAGGCTAAATTATATTAAAGTAAACTCAAATAGTATTAAAGTGAAATGAAAGTTAAAAGTCACATATTAATTAATTAAAGTAAATAAAAAAATCAAGATCATATAATATTTATTCAAAAATACAAAAAGAAAGACATCCAAACATAAACTATTATGTCTAATCCTCTGCCTTTTCTGTCGGTATTGTGTGATATATTGTAACTCAACAATCATGTCCTCCATGAGAATCAACTGAGGACTAACATCTTCAATGAGTCTGGCCTCTACTTGTACAACACGCTGACTGATCGCTAATACGTTTTCGATGTGGTCATTCTTAGTCTAAAGTACCTCCTGATTAATTAGCCTAGGTGGTCATTCAGGAGCGTCTGATTATATGATATGACGTGACACCATATAAAATCTGTCATGTAGCCGTCAATATAAGTTCATGGAAAATGAGCTACCACCATATGATGCTTCTCTAGTATCAAGTAACTTTCGAAATCATTCGGTATCGCACAAAGATCTCTGCGGCAGACGTCTGAAAGAGAGGACTCATAGGGAGGTCTCAGAACAATATGGAAGTTGTCAAACTGACATATCACTCGCTCAGAGAGATAAGGACACATAAGAGATGGTCCACATCCCAGTTATCTGGAGTATAAAAAGACGATGTCCAGCGTACGCGTCTCGTGGTGACCGGCATACGAGAAGAAGGCAACATTATCTGGTACATGATGATCAAGATACACTCTCAATGGCTCGATCATACTCTGAGTGTTTTTAGCCCTTACACATGAGTTATGAACAAAAAAATAAAAGCAACATGTCAAGACAAATCCATAAATTTTACAAAATCAACCTAATCTTTGCTTGAGGCAAATTCAGAGATGTATCTCCGGGAACCGTTCAGAGTAAATTTAGAGATGCGTCTCCAGTCAAATATGCGTTTTTCTTCAATGGAAGAAATGTCTTTTCATCCCTAACTCTAAAAAATATCCCAATGCATGTTCTTCTAGCCTATCAATTTTATTTAAACTACTATCTAATGTAACGAAAATAACTAATGTAGTTTAAACAACTAACTACAAATCAAAACATAAAAATAGATAGAATTTTTAAAAACTTATCAAATCTAATTGATGAGAAGTAGAAAATTTAATGTATGAGATATGAAATGATGAAAAGGAGGAGAAACAACTCCGACAATAGAAGTTTTCTAATGAGAGAAGGTTGAATGGGAGGGAGAGCTCAACATTTTGAGAGGATGAAAAGTTTTTTTTTGTAAAAAATGAAGAAGAAGAAAGAGGGAAAGTCTGACGCAAGGATATGAATCTAAAGCGTATGGAGATGCATCTCCGGACCATCCACTAGTTTTGAACAAATGGTGTTTATATAACTGCATCTTTGAATTCATTATTAGGCATACAGAGATGCATCTCCAGATTAAATTTTGACATAACGGGACACCTCTTTAATTTGGTCAGAAAAATGATTTAAAAAAATGTGTTGGGAGATACATCTTCAAACGTTAGGGACATTCATGATTTTTTTTATGGTGGTGGTGAGAACATATAGGGTGGAAAGAGCAACTCTCAAATTTTTTCACAATGTTCTTAATTTTTATTAAGAAACATAAGCAATGAATCTTTTGGTTCTAAGGATAATAATAGTGCAAAAACTAAAGTGTTGTAAAATTAATAATATAATGACTTATACTAGTTTTCCTTATCAATTAGAGGCATTTCTAATTCTTTCACACCTGAAATTTTTTTAACTATATTTAAATTCTTGTACAAGTCTCACACCATTTTTTTTTACAACCTTCTAAAAAAATACATATACACCAAAGCTATGGTGGATTTTGAATCAATTTAATTCAAAAAACTTTTTTCACAACACACTAAATACTATGTTGGATTTTGAATCAACCTAATTCAAAGGAACTTTTACACAAATAATTTATCACCATTAACTTGATGATTAAGTCACGATATATATTTTTTAATTTGAATAAATTTGTTTTGATTTATATTTCAAGTAAATGATTCTTCTCTTTCTCTTGATTATTATTCAAACTTATACACTTAACTGCTTATGAAATTTTAATGAAACTCTTCGAATCATATGATCTTCTAGATTAAATGCATTTTTAAGTTTGAACATTGTGAAACATATTTTTAGAATGAACATTGTTACAAATAAAGCTAGATAGTCTTTTTAGTTTGACTAGATTTCTTACTTTTAGAAATATTCTATACCACTTTTATCATTAACATATTTTAAAATTAAAAAATTTAGAGTTAAGAGATACATATTTTTCACATGTTAGACAATAATTTGAGTAATTAATTTTGATTTGTCTTTGTCTAACTCATCTTGCATGCTTTTAGAAGTACTTTCTAGAGATGATTTTTTTTTGTTTAACACATAATTTAGAAAACTTAAGATATTCATATGCAAATCATTAAAAGTATCATGTAATTCATAATAAAAATTTATTATTTGAGTCAAAATCACTAATCTCATCATCATCGAAGTGATGTGAAACCATGAAAGATATATTTTTGTTCTTTACTTTTAGAATTTTTACTCACATCATTTCCTTTTCAAGCGATGTATGATATTCTTGATTTTTAATCCTTGTTGTTATTGAATTTGTTCTTCTTTTGAAGGGTAGGACAATCAATTTTGACAAGTCATGTTCTCCCACGTTCAAAACAAGTAATTTTTTTTATTGAAGTCGATACTTCTCTTTTTGATCAATTTTCTTTGTCTTTTTTCTTTTCAAGAATTTTTCAAATTTCTTGATTAATACACCATCATCATCTTCGTCACTATCGAATTGAGATTCTTCTTCTTGATCACTATCATAATCTTTTACTTTAGTTTTAAGGCAAGGGATCTCACTTTATGCTCACATCCTTCATGCTTCTCAAATCGTTCAAGTTTCAATTCATATTCTTGAAGTTTGCCAAATAATACAGTCAATGACATTTTAGAAAGTCCATTCTTTTCAGATATTGCTATCACTTTCGATTGCCACATTCTAGTCAAAACAAATTTTTAAGTTTAGTTCATCATTGGTGAAGACTTTTTCAAGAGCAGTAAAATAATTTGTCAAGACAATGAACCTTTTTTGCATATCTAGAATAATTTCATGGGTAACATTCTGAACATTTCATATTCTTGTTATAAAGGTTCAAATTTTGATCTCTTAACTTCTTCGGTTCCTTTGCGTATGACTTGCAATGTTTCTCACATTTCTTTAATAGTTTTACAATTTGACACCAAAAAGAATTCATTCATTCCTAATGATGATGCTAATATGTTTTTGACTTTCTTATCATGACTACTTTTTTTTGTTATCATCGTTATTCCAAGAATCTTTGGGTTTTTGTTTTTTGTTGACTTACACCATTTACAAGTGTGGTTGGAATGTAACGACCATTTAAAAAAAATTGTCATACCTTGTGATTCAATAAACATTTGCATCTTAATTTTGCAAAAATCATAGTATTCACCAACAAAATACGGTGGTCTATTATTGTTATCACCTTTTCCTAAGAACACATTTGCGGAAGACATTTTTATCCGGATCTAGGAGCAAGTTACCTAACTCTTCCTCTGATGTCAATTGTAACTACGAGATGCAACCTACGAGGGGGGAGGGTGTAACACCCTTCTAAACCCCACAGAATATTCATAGTTATTCAAAATAATATCAGAGTAATACAACAAAAGGACATCACATTTTATTCGTGAAATAATCATACGTGCTAGTCTTACTCCGTAACACGAGTTTTTAAAATCATTCATTACATATTCATTATCAAAGTTTCACATATTTGCAGCAGAATCATAGTTCAAACAAGTTCATTAAGACACTTCATAGTGTCCCATGATTCATGGTTCACAATTCAACATAAGTTAAACTCCATGGAAATAATTTAAATGTCATAACAAAACAAGAATAAAATAGTATTCAAAACAAAGTGTTTCCGTCCTCGATGTTACATATCAGAGTAAGACCTTCTAGACTCAACAGAAATAAAACACACGCTCCAAGCTATTCTTCTAAGCCTTTAGGGACTACTCCTGATTACCTGCATGTTATCCACGTAGAGACAACATTAAAGCAGAAAGGGTGAGTTCATCACAATCATTATATAAGATATAAGTAATAGACATAGCAGAATAAACCAAAAGTATCACAATATAAACTCAACATTGTTATATTCCAAGTACCTCAACAATCATACAAATTCAACAACATAATACAACACCATCAATTTAATAACTATGCAATTCCACATAAGATGTAGTGCAAGGACATATACTCATGCATGTGGTGCCAATTCATTTGATGGGCACTGGGCCATCACCCTCCAAAGAACCCAATAATAGGATCAATTTCCACTTGGAACCGGAGTAAATAATAGACATCTCAAATC